AATTTTTTTTATATATCAGTCATGATATCCCATAATATTTAAGGTCAGTTTGATATATATTTTTTTTGGCAGAGGGGGTCAGAATTATTGCAAACAGCTGTATTTATTTATATTATTTTTTTTTTTATTATTGTTATTATTATTATAATTTTTATTATTTCATTGTTATCATATTTTTTTTTATTTTATCATTATTTGTATTAACATTATCATTACTATGATTATTATCTTTTTTTTTCTTATCGTAATCATTATCATCATCATCATTATTATTTATTATACTTATTTTTTTTTTTTTCATTGTTATCATTAATATTATCATTATTATTATTAATTGTAATATTTTTTTTTTTTATCTATTTTAATTTATTTTTCTTCCTTTTGAAAATTTTGTAATATTTTTTTTTTTTTCTAATTTTACATATCTTCTTATTCATGTTATTGCCAGAATTTGTAAATTTTTTTTCTTTTTGGAATAAAGTTATTATTATTATTATAATATTGTAATATTATTATTTTTTTTATCCTTATCGTAATCATTATCATCATCATCATTATTATTTATTATACTTTTTTTTTTAATTTTCATTGTTATCATTAACATTATCATTATTATTATTAATTGTAATTTTTTTTTCTTTTTTATCCTTATCGTAATCATTATCATCATCATCATTATTATTTATTTTTTTTTTTATTATAATTTCCATTGTTATCATTAATATTATTATTATTATTAATTGTTTTTTTTTTTTTTTATCCTTATCGTAATCACTATCATCATCATCATTATTATTTATTTTTTTTTTTATTACAATTTCCATTGTTATCATTAATATTATTGTTATTATTATTAATTTTTTTTTTATTATCTTTTTTRTCCTTATCGTCATCACTATCATCATCATCATTATTTTTTTTTATACTTATTATTATAATTTTCATTGTTATCATCATTATCATTATTATCATTTTTTTTATCAAAATTATAATTAGTATTGGTATTGTTATCGCAGTTGTCATCATCATTTTTTTTATCGCCATCATCATTTTTATTTTTGAATTCCCTTAAAAAACCTTGTAAATTTTTTTTCAAAACCAAAAGAAAAAATGAGGAAATGAAGAAATCACATGAGAGGAATAGATAAAAATGGCTGGGAAAATGTCTGGAAAGTAAAGAACTAAATAAATGATAAACTGCTTCTCTAAGCTACTTATACGTTAACGACATGCACCTAAAAGCCGACATGGACACTTGGCCTAAATGAGACTCGTTACCAATAATACAAATTCTCGTTGTTTTAAGCTATTTCCTGCAATTAGGCAAAAACTCCTAGCATCAAAAATAATAAAATACAACATAGAAAATACATGATACAAATGAATCAATATGTTTATCGCGAGAACAGTGTGTTTATTTCTTTCCCTTTTTTTTTTTCAAACCAGCACAATTAGCCAAAGGCACTTGAATCATAACATTAAGGTTTTTTTTTTGTGCAGATTCTGTTGCTTTTTCATTGTCTACACCTTCAGACAATTTATTTTTTTTTTATAGGTATTAATGAGTGTTAATAAAAAAAATATTGGACATAAGAAATTTTTTTTTAAGATTGACTCCATTTGCACCTTCAATTCGTCGTAAATTTTGCTCTTTGTTTTTTTTAAAATAACCTTTACRCGGAGCTCAGCAAAATGTAATTGTCCGTTATCTTGGAGCATTTCCTTTTTTTTCAGTTTAATTGCCTTTCATTTGTAAAAATATATATATTAAGCTCAACGATATAATTTGAGCAAAATGAATATTTAGATGAAAGAGTTACGGCTTCAGAACCAATATCACGATACTTCAATCTTAAACGCTCAAATAGACACAAACATGTTTTCCCTGTGTAAGATGTGGGTGTTTGACCACTTGAGAGAGAAATCCAGCTTTCATTTTTTGTGGCCACAAGAAAATAGTTTTAAAGTTCATATACATCTTGTAAACATGACGCCGTAAACACTCTAATCGGAGCTAATAGCGGCCTATATGGATAATAGAAGCTTGCCTCTGGAACATTTTGAACTCAAGAGAAATCAATCAAAACGTCACYTTACATCAAGCGCGCCGATTTTTTTTGTAAAAATCCAAATATTCCCATGGATTCATCTTTAATTAATTGCGTCTTAATTAATACAATTAATTAGCCATGTTAGCTAGTCTTGTGGGATGAGTATTGAGGGGATCAAAGAGTTAGGCCGTGATTAGCAAGAGAGATCTACCACACATATATTTCCAAACTTTTTTTTTCTAAGATTCATTTTTTTTTTTTCCTTTTTCAATGGTAGAAATTTTTGGACTGGCTTTCATCGAGAAGGCACTATTTGTTTTTATTTATTTACATTAATACAAAACATTTTTTTTTTTTATTGTGGTTCTTTCAGAGTATACTGTGTGGGCTGAATTACATCTGCCTCCAAAGTCAATTGGGCTGCAATATACTAACACTACCTGAATACATTATCATAAATTACACGATGAACTTCTGATAAGAGACTTCCCGGTCGGTTTCATTGGCAAAACTACGCGTGGCATCGTACATTTGACGAAGACAAGTGCTGCTTCCCCTGAGAGCAAACTCCAGTTTACAACACAGTGTTGTTTTTCATCGTCAGTTATTTATTCAAAGTGAGCGATCGGTTTTTTTTTGCTTGGACATTAAACGACTCCGATTTGAGAGTTGAATTGACTCAGGCGAACCTGAAGTTCTTCGAAGAGCAAGCAGTTATGGCAAACAGAACAAATGGCACACAGTATATAAACTGCGTCGGRGATTCTTTGAGTGTTGTGATTGTAAAAGCTGTAGCTTATGTTTTTTTTTTGTTGCTTTCGTTTGTTGGCAATGGAATGGTTTTGCATATTTTTTACAAGAACCGCGCAATCAGAACAACCACCAACTCTTTTATCGTAAACATGGCTGCTTCTGTTTTTTTTATTCCGATATTTCTGATTCCTAGACAAATAGCCGCTGCTGTTGAGACAGAAGATCCCAAGACCCAGATATGGCGAATTCAAGGATTCTTTGGCGAGCTATCATGCAAAATTATTCCGTACATAGGGGATGTCTCGCACTGCGTTTCGATTTTAACTCTCGTGCTCATATCCGTGGATCGTTATATCGCGATTTGTTGGCCTCTTTCCACAAGGTACAGAATTACGCCAAAGCGTTGTCATATTCTTATAGCTACTACGTGGGTCRTAGCACTGATAATTTTTTTTCCGATTCTATATTCCTTTCAACTTGTCACAGAAGAGGGAAAACATTTATGTACGATGTATTGGGGATCGTTGCAAAACTACGACACGGCTAGCCACAAGATCCATSAAAAAGTTCAAAAATATTATGCCTCGGGCATTATTCTGCTCATCTACGTCCTCCCTCTGATCACAATTACAATACTCTATTCCTCAATAATTCAAGAGCTCAGAAGTAAACAAAGAATGCAGTCAATCCATCAGCCAACACACCATCGTCGCCAAAGACGTCGCGAGGATAACAGGGTAATTGCAATGTTAGTGGTAGTTGTGTCTATTTTCGCCGCGTTTTTCGCGCCATTTCACGTTAGTGTTTTTATTCAGTTGTACATTATAGACTACACCAAGTACATTCCTTGTCAAATGAATGACATTCGATTTTCTAGAATATATCTTACTCTATCGATCTGCTCCATCAACCCTTTCATTTACTTCATCTTCATAAGAAGATATCGAAAATGCGCCAGAGTTTTTTTTAAGTGTTTGTGTGGGACGAAAATAATAAATGTAATCTCGAAAATGCGCAATTGGAAATGTTGGAAGAAAGACGACACCGACGAACAGGAGACACGTCGAACAACCCTTTTTTTTAGTTCCTGTAAAACGCGTCAAACAGAGCTTGTACTGTTGGCTTTGGAACTTTTTTTTACATTTCAATTCGAGACAGGGTTATAAAACTTCTATGCTACGGATTAACTTTTTTTTTACAATATTGATAGTTCGATGTAGAAAGCAAACTCATTAAACTTCGATATTTTTTTTGTGGTTATAGGTTTTAACACATGCTGACTGCAAAAAGAAAGATGTGATGTTTTTTTTATAAAAGCCATTTATGAAAAAGCATTGCACATTTTAATCAAATTTGAGCTTTTTTTTTAAAAGGAGGAATGGACTTTTCTTGAATGTTATGTTTATGTTTGTCTAATTTTTTTTAGAACACAAACCTAAGTTTAATTAAGAATTAAAAAGCATTCAAAACTGATTTCATTTGGAGATTTTAATCACAATCTAAAGCAAGCTGGACGCGACCACCTAGTGATTTTTTTTCTTGTTGAGAGCACTCTGTATCAAACAAAAGATTTAGCTTTTGCTTTACAAAAGATGGACACATAGCCAACGGATGCTAACAAGACTAAAAATACTTAAGATAAACTCAAAAAAACCCGGCAGGCTTTCAAGCGACGATTTTTTTCAAGAGGTCTCACGTCAAATCATTGAAGAATAAAAAAACATAGGCTTAAAAACAAATCTCTTGACTGAAAATCTGAACTCTTTCGAATGGAAAAACGTAAACGTCGGRCATCTTTGAAGGTTCGAAGTCAATTTTTTTTTGCGACAACCTCCATTATAGCGAATCTCTTAAGGGTGAATTTCCCSGACTTTTTTTTTGAAATAGCCGAATTTCCATTCAAAAATTACTTCACTTTTAATACTATGGAAAAGCTAGAATCAGTTTTATGCCATTCATATAAGAATGACCGCCATCTTAGACACTTAAGTCTTCCTTTCAATATTTGTATTGAATTAGATAGAAAAGAATGATATTCGTGCATTTTTTTTAACATGAAAAAGCTGAGGTGGTTCCCAGTCAAGGAGCTAAACTAGTCTTTCACAGTCTAGTAATCTAAAATAAAAAGCACAGCTGTCCTTCTGTGGCTRGTTGTGGTTTTTTTTATCATCGAAAAGCTGCACGACAGAGCTTATCAATGGCTGTGTAACGGCTTTTATAGAAAACAATCTTTGCTCGTTCATTCATTACGGCGCCCCAAGCTGTATTATTCTGAAAGGATAGAGTCTCCGGTAGCAAGAGGCAAACACATCAATAATAAAGCTTATTATTCTGTATGCAAATATTTTGAGCTGCGAGGTGATTCAAGAATAGAAATTATAAGTAAAGTGCCTTCTGTTTACTGTTACTTTTTAGCGGATTAAAAGCTTGGATCGGCACAGCTTTTTTTTTAACGGCCAACCTGATTTGCTAACAATATACATAGAACAAATATTTCACTTTTTTTTAGCAAGTTTTTTTTGATAAATCAAATCACAAAAAAAGTAGCGAAATAAATTTTTTTTAAAAATATATTTTTCAACGTGTTTTAACGATCTTTTAAATCTATTGTTTTTTTTTTTTGTCATATTCCAGAATTAAATGTGTTTCTAACTTATCTTACTTTGAATGTTTTTTTTATTTCAGTACATTATATGCTAGTCATTTGTCTAATAGCCTATATTATACTTTTTTTTTTATTATGTAGAATATAACAAGCAAACTGGGAAGGAACCCTTGAAAGCATTTTTTTTGATAAAAAAACCCAGATATTCAAAGAAAATGTCATATATGGAAAAATGATTTTTTTTGGATTGAAGGGATGTAGCTGTGGATCCAGGGGAGGAGGGATCCAGGGGGTTTTTTTTGGGGGGGGGGGGGGGGGGGGGGGGGCGGTTGAGTTTCAATAGAAAAAAATTTTTTTTAAATGAAATATAAAAAACAGGAAATTATATCGGGATTTATAGGATAGAATTTTTTTTAAAAGTAAAAAAAAAAAAAACAGACTTCGAAAGAAAAGAAAAACAGAGTTTTTTTTTCGAAATCAATAAAATAATAGTAATACAAATGAAAAGAGGGAAAAATAGCTTTTTTTTTTAACAGAAAATTGGAAACTGAGCTAGACAAAAATTAAAATGAGAATCTTTTTTTTTGCTAGAACTAACAAGTACATCTAAAATTAACTTAAACATCATAAGAAAGCACGACAAGAAGAGCAAGAAAAGTGAATGAAAACGAAAAGAAATAATGAATGTTGAATTTTTTTTGGAATCGAGCAAAAAAGTCTCACAGATATGTAGATCGACCACCATGATAAATTCAATTGATTCAAGCAGAGGTTAATAACGTTTTAAAATATTGAGTCTTTGTCTTTTTTTTTTGACAACGCAAAAAAAAAAAGAAAATTAATCAATTCAAGCGGTAAAGTAATTTTTTTTGACAGAAAAGGCTCGACTTATTACGAATATTCCGTTAGGTAAACAATAGTTTTTTTTAAAAATATCTGAGAGAGCGCTTCCTGTGTGTCTGTATTGGTTCAATATCGGTTCTTGTATTGTGAATAGCAATATCAGAAAGCAGTCCAGATGCAGAATGATTATTAAATCGACACGAATCGATAAAAATTGAAGGTAATAAAAACTTAAACAAGAAAAATAATTTTTTTTACATTATCAAAGAAAAAACGCCAATACAAAGTTAAATATTCTGTCAGAGCGAAAAAATTATCATAGTACATGACTGAATGTAGAATTGAAAAGGTCAGGTTTATTTTTTTTTTTAGTCACGATTTTTTATGATGGGGATTGCCGCCCGATAATCGCCTCAGTTTTGAACAGCTATCTAGGAATTATCACGTCGATAATCACCGAACTGATCACGTATACGTACGATTTTTTGACTTCGCGGCGACCTAGGGACTGCGCAATAGTTATCAGGAGATCTTTTTTTTTGAGAATCGAGCCAAAAAATCCAAAAAGTTAATTACTACCAACCTCCCCCTTTTTTTTGATTTTTTCCGTTTCCAAGAATTAAAGTTCTAGTTAATTTTAGACGTTGTTTTTTTTCTTTAAGCACATAGAAATAGATTTCGCCCCCTCCCCCCGGATTCTCAAGTTTTTTTTCAGATAAATATCGCGCAGTCCCTAAATCGAGACAGTAGCGACCTCCGCATTTTTTTTTTGATCACTTATTGTTCAAACTTAAATAAACTCTTAATTTAAAAATAACTTTTTTTTAATGTTTTCCAGGACTGAGCACTGACTGATCAAGGGTGCTTTCCATTTAGGTAGAACTGGACGGCCAGTCCGCTCTATTTAGAGGTATATCATGCTTTTTGTCARCTTTTTTTTGTCATTTCGAGGTTTTCTAAAGAATAATAATKKATAGAATTGAAAAWTTTTTTTTTTCAACTAAATAGGAATGATATATAATGACATTTTCTCTGGGTCTGATGGCCAGCCAGTTCTGACAAATGGAAAAGCGCCCAAGAGTCGATATTGTTGAYTCTTAAATTTTTTTTTTCAACCGGTATTCAATGTTACCGCATTTGAAATTTTTCGTATACGTCGATTTTTTTTKGTATTTAAAATCTAAACGTTTGGTTTGTCATAAAACTGCAGATATTATTTTTTTTTTCAACCTTTAATGAAAATAATTAAGTTTTTGAATACTGATTTGCGAACTTTTTTTTTTCAGAATAATGTTGGTTGGACTTGAACTCATGGWAATTATGTTTSATCATTTTTTTTTGTTTATTCRCCAAGCTTTCGGGCCTATTGGCCCATCCTCAGGKTTAMATTTTTTTTAAGCATTAAAACGGAAAGAAATTTACGAATCCAACTGTTTATGCAACTATTTTTTTTAAAAATCATCTGATATTCTCCATCATACACCTGATCATATATTGATATATTTTTTTTTTCAAAATGTTTGCAAAAGACATTACATTCACTAATTTAAATTATCCAGTTTTTTTTCGTTTCTATATATCCGTCTGTTTCAGTAAGCTTGAATCTCGTTTTCTTTTTTTTTTTGTCCTTTTTAAATTTTATAAGGGATGACCGCTGTCTTACTCGACTGCAGTTTTTTTTGGGCAAATAATGAATTTGCATTTTCTCAAAAAAAGAAGCTGGTAAAGACTTTTTTTTAAGTCGGTCCGCCCAGTTTGCTCTCTGCCGGTTAGAGAGTTTAAGCATCGCGTTTACGGCAAACGGCTAACGGCAGAGCTGAACCAATGACCTAAGAATTTCGTGCTTTTTTTTCCTTGTGCTTTTGATAGTCATTGGAAAGAGCGACTTTTCACGATTACGGTTTTTTTTAAATAACCCACTCTCGCTTTGAAACTGTAACGGTATAATCCCAAAAAGCTTTTTTTTTGATCATTTCTGACGTTGTCAGTTTGCGGTAGACGTCATGATTAAGCTCTTTTTTTTTTTGACGCCRACGGTACGGAGAATTTACCCGACGGCCTATTGARACTAATTTTTTTTATTGTCTTTCAAAAAGTAGACTAAGTTTCCTTTGCTGGGAAAAAAACGTTTATTTAAGCAATAAACGATAGCTTAAAGGGGTTTACTGGCGAAATAAACCGCGAGGTTTTTTTTTGAGAATACGAAAAACGATCTGTACATCAAGAGCCGTATGCTTTTATATTTTTTTTTAAAGAAACGAAAGAAAAAAACATGCATACATTTAGTGCGCTTTCCATTTTTTTTTTTTGGCCGGCCAGACCCAGAGAAAATGTCATTATATATCATTCCCATTTAGTTTTTTTTTTCGAATTTTCRAATTCTATCCATTATTCTACAGAAAACCTCGAAATGACTGAAAAATGTTGACAAAAAGCATTATATACCTCTAAATAGAGTGGACTGGACGGCTAGTTAAACGAGGCGAGATAAACCATATAGCTTTTCCCATGAGATCCGCCACTCAGCGTTTTTTTTAGAATTGAGCTCTAATATATATAACAGATTATTTTAGTACCTAATCTATTTTTTTTTAGTAGGTCTCTTGGAGTGTTTTAGACAAGCCAAAGTGTTTCAAGGAAGATTTTTTTTCTCAAGATCYCTGTTGTGGATGRCCCTAATTAAGACCATCAGGCCCTTAGGCTGGATTCGGAGGGTTC